GACTGGATCGTGTAGAGAGCGTGCCAACGGCGAGTTGCGCAGTATCAACTATTTAAGTGCATTCGTATGCGAATACTACGCAAAATATAGTATTAGAGCTAAAATTAATGTCGCAAACAGTGTGCCCGCTCCAAAACACTCGACCTCCAGCCGAGCTCTTCATCGACCCTACCATGAGCGGATCCAACTACTCCCGATTACAGGAGGATAGGAGGTGCCTGCTGGCAGCTCAACCTACTAACTAGGAGGTTAACCTAGGTTAACAGCCCTATTGCCCCTACGCACAACAACAACAACTAGATATGAATTAGGGTGAGTCCACATTATTACAAATGCAGATTGCAATTGCAAACACATGGATTACTACACAAATGAAATCCCTGGAGTCATCATCTCACGCAGATGTGAGCCCACCAGCTGGCACAACGTAGCAGGTCCCACGTGGGATCGGGATTTTTGGGTACCCATGAGGCCAATGTGTCCTGAGCGGGGTGTTGTAACTCCCAGACGTGGAGCAGGGGAGGAAACAAGCGACTTTTTGATGGCAAGCGCTCCGCCAGCATGTTCTCCAGGGCGATCTGCTTTGGGCTGAACTCATCACGTTTCCCGGTGAACACCGACCTATCACCGGTGACCGGCTTCTACGAGCACTGCCGCGTGGACGGCGACCGTAGCGACCGACTGACTGGCCTCGACCGCAGGGAGGCGTGGCCAATGGCGCGAGAGCGCATTGGCAACCAAGCGCAAGTAGGCCTGTCGTGCGTGCGCCCAGTGGGCTACCGTCGCATCCGCGACAATTGTAGATTAAACGGCGTAGGGTTTCAGGGAGGCTTGGCGGTTCATTTGGCTCGATTCGCTGCGGGAGATTATGGTTCAGATATAACCCTTAATCCGTGCGGACTCATGCATTGCTCCGCGTGATGATCCTTCCATCGACAAATTTCCCAAAAACGCACACCTGAGGGAGGTTTTTTTCGAAAAGAGCTTTGAAGTAGAAATATGACGCATATAAACACAATTCTGAATACACAAACTTCCAATAAGAAGGAGCAACAATTTATTGCCCCTATTTCTTTGAAAACCTTACTTTGTCTATCCTGCAAAGTCATTTTTCCAGTTCCATTTTTCACTTCCACCACATGTTTTTCTGCTGCATTTCATTTCGTCTAACTTAACTTGGAAATTGAAGGACAAATTCACGATTAAAATTAAG